TTAGATGGTACAAATGTCCCTAAATTTAAAAAATATTAAAAAAAAACATACATATATATCAATTGTAAATACTTGTATATTATAAATATGTACATAGCCATCTGGACTCATCATTTCACCTCCTCCTTTCCTGCTGCAGCTACAAAGAACACAATGAACATAAATAATAGCAGTTCCGACATAGCCGCTAAATATCTAAATAATTATTATAGATATAAATTGTGACAATTATAATTACCTGAAATATTTAATAAAATGCCTCAAGATATTAGAAATCAAAATAGATGTAAATACTTTTATATCTAAATATATATAACTCAAAGGTGACTGACGTAGTGATCTATCAACGTACAGCCCAAACCACTCGATGGATCGGGCTGAAATTTGGCATGCAGGTAGATGTTATAACGTAACATTCGCTAAGAAAGGATTTTGATTAATTCTACCCCCAAAGGGATAAAATAGGGGATGAAATTTCATATGAAACTTTGTCAATTTTAAACCAACCAACCAATTCTTTTCCTAACTTAATAGTATGTAACATATAAATATTGTAAAACTGTCTACTGTATTATTAGTAAGATTTAATAACGAAAAAAAATACCTTTACATTTATTATTGTAATAGAGTAAGTCGAGTAAAGTGAAAAGTAAGTATTGACAGTAAAATGTTGACTGTTTGCGTGTGACGCAACACGACCTTGGAGAGATGCAATGTCTCTTCAAATTTGTCCGTTCCGTCATACTCGTGAACGAGTGCTGCTTGTAGGACTGGTCTGCTCTAATCACTATGACTGATTTCCTCTTGTTAATTGTTTAACCAGTTGGTTGTATACTTAATATTTTTTATATTTGAGTATTTAATTGAATTAGTGCTAATTGATAGTTTGTATTCACACACTTAAACTTAAAAATGTAAAGTGAGAATAAAATTATTTAAAAGAGCAACACGCAAGTTTCACGCTTGTTCTTCTTGTGATGAGACAGCTTTCCGAATGAGCGGTAGATTAAAAAAAAATGTGATGACTATTCAAAAGTGCTTCAATGTAAGTCTATTTGAATAAATGATTTTCTATTCTATTCCTAATAGAGATAGAACTAATACTGCACAATACCTACATAGTAACTTTTTGGCAGCTGCAATAGGTGATACTGTGGATATCTGACCCAAGCAAATGACATTTGATAAAGTCTAGGTCGCTCGAGTCAAAGGGTAGCCTACTAGGCTGGACCATCTCTAACTCTATAAGTGTCCTTCTTTCTTCATTAGCCCGCTATTTTCTTTTGTTATTTTTAGCAAGACCTCTATAATATTTCATAAAACGAACTAAAGAGCGAATGATCTGTCCATTAGTTAGCGTAGTTCGCAGTTCGCGCTCTTCGAACTAGATCTTTTATGAACTACACAACACTAATAACAGAATACTTACTTGCGTCAATGCCTTATTAAGTTTCTGTGTACATATGTACATAAATTTGCGACTTGTGTATTGTAATTATACAAATTTTTACAGTTATATTCACACATATGTGCACCGGTATGTACCCGTACACTTATACACATATTTGTTCACATATAACCTTTATTTAATTTTTTTTAGCTGCCAATCAGCTTGATTTGTAAGCTATATTTCGCTTGAAGGATTAATTATTGAATTCGGATATATAATACAAAAAAAATTCAAAATTCAAAATATCTTTATTCATGTAGGTCTATTACAGACTCTTATGATATGTCAAATCAACCGTCAGTTCGGAATGATTTCGAGATGAGAAGAACTGACAAGAAACTCAGCTAGTATTCTTTTCAAATTAACATTACACATGTTTACAATAATACACATTAATTTTTAAATTCAAACTTGGGAGAATAGAGTGACCAGCATATGCAAAAGCAAATAGTCTAATCAGTGTTTGCAACCCAAACAGATCAGTCCCCACAAGCAGCACTCGTTCACGAGTATGACGTTCACAAATGGTATTTTAATCATCCGATATGGCAATGTATGTTTTGAACGGTACCATAGATGTCATAGGGCAGGGTAGGCGAACCTTTATGCATCAACGTGCCATTTTTTTCCAGAAACTAATTTAATGGCGTCATTGATGTGCCATTAAATAATATTGACTTTCTGATTATTTGGAAAACAATAATAATAAATACTATCAAAACTCTCTATGAAATAAAGTAAACAAAAGAGGTACATTTTGGATTGTTTTCATTACACGCATAAATTAAATTACTGTAAAATTAGTGTGACTTCTGTTGCTGCAGGTTAGATGACAAATAATTTATGTCAGGCTTGTACGATGTTACTTTTAGCAAAATGCATGCTGAACTGGATTCATCTGTCAAACGGTTTCTAACCGAGTTTTTAATTTTATTCATCTCTGAAAATAATGACTCGCAGGCATAGGTAGATGAAAATATTGTTAAATGGCACGAGCCAGTTTCTTCAAACAGTTTTATGATCGACGACGTGCCCAAAATATTGTGCCATTGGTTCTCCTACCCTGTCATAGGGAGTGTATCCACTCAATAAAATTACGATGTAGATATTCTTCAGTGTTTCATTCTGAAAGTTCACTATTTATTTTTTATAATTTATTTAGACTCTTTATTGCACCACAAAACAAAAATTACACAACAAAAAAATTTATAAAATAGAAAGTATACATTGACTGATACAAAGGGAAGGAAAAGGGAAGGGAAGAAAAAAGTATGGAAGAGATTGCTTAGCAATAATGGTCTTATTGCTAAGCAATCTCTTCCATACTACTTTTGGGTGGATAGAGATATATAAAATATGGAAAGGGTAGGTGGCGCACGTAATAAACATAAATAAATATATGTGACTCAGATATACATATATATACAACTAATAACATCAAGTTTAATTATTTATTGTTGACAATTTTCACATAATAGCAAGTTTTGTATGGAGAGCGATAAAGGGTATGCAGCATTAAGTCCTGTTCAAGTATGAATATAGGCAACTTGCTACCAGATGGCCAAACTGCTTGTTTGCCAATTTATTATTAAAAGTATGATTTAGTTGTCTATTCTATAAAAATAAGTAACCACATGACCCTGATGAGCGCCAACAGAACAATATCAAAGTAAAATTGTTAAAACATGAAATTGCTATTTCAATTTATCAGGCGTTGTATAAAAATTATATACAAAACATTAAAAGATTGATGAACAAATTGAACGATCAAGTAATTTTAATATTAATAAAAGAAAATATTTGTATTTTTTTGCTACTTCCCTCAAATTGTAGGTTTATTTAATATAAAATAGAGTCAGTAGAGGATAGTTTTGAACTTCAAATGCCGTCGTCGTCGTTGACTTTTTATTGTAATAATTTACCGATTACAATAATATTACTGTAAAAAGGTTATTACAGAATTGTAATAGTTATTATTATTCCTATTAAAATAATAACATAGAAAATTGTAAGTTCAATTTGCTTGAGATTTCTAAATCTGCATTCCGAATATAACGGTAGAATCATAAAAGATTGCGTACTATTTAATTATGTGTACGTTACATTCATTTGAATAAACTTGAATAAAGGATAGATACAGAATACATTTATTCTACATCTAATAAAAAAATAAAACAAATTCAATACAGGAATCGCAGTAGTTCGCTTTTAGTGCAGTACTATTACCAGTGACTGCAGGTCAAAGAAAAAGAAGCGAAAGTAATTTCAACTTACGCAAGGTTCGAGTTCCGCGGTTGCATTACTGATGTTAGTGATGCGATTACTAAAACGATAAATATCGATATTATGTGACAATCAGAGAACAAAATTCTGGTTTAAATTGGTTAAACAGTAATAATTTTAGTTTAGAAACTATTAAACAACATGTCATGATTTTTTACATATATTTTTAACCACAATATTTGCTATATATTGAATCTATAAAAACAACAGAAAATATTAAATATAATAGAATTTATTTATTATTAAATATAATTAAATAAATTGATTAGTAAGTACAATACGTACATAATAATGTATAATAAATAATTGGGGGTAAGAAATTGTTAGTATTGGTAATTAGTAACCTATGGGCGCCAGATATGGGCGTGAGAATCATAGTTTTTATAGTGTGAGTTAAAGACGCTCTCATGGGAAGCTATGGTGGCATTGTTTGTAGTGATTGCCATAGGCCTAAATAAATTGCTAGAAATATTTCAGGTCGACCTCTACACGGTTTCCCTTGAATCTGTCACTACACGGTTAATTCCTGGTGAATTCGCCAGTGCATACTGTTAACGCAGGTAGATGCAACATATTATTATCGTCCACTAAAAAAACGTAAGTCCCTTTATTGAAATATAATTTTGTACAATATATTTAATATGAATATGTGCTATATTTACAACTATGTTTATTAGGAAAAAGCCAATTTAATATCATTTGGCATAGTGCCGAATAACATGTTGGTTTATTTTTGTTAAAAGCATCAGATAGCACTTCCCTTTACTTCTTTTGTTATGTGAACATTATTGACTACCGGACGATAATAATGTTTCTTTTAATTAATTCGATAATTTATTTTCATTACGGTACACCAACCATAAAATATTAAAAAATAATATTTTGTACTATGATAATTTTTTTTCGTGTTATTCATACGTATTAAAAATCGAATGTGTTTATTAACCTCTAAATAATAATTACATCTGACTAATATTTTAAACGCGAAAGTTCGTGAGAATGGATTGACGTTGGTTACTCTTTTACTCGAAAACCACTGAACTGAACGGATTTTTATGAGACTTTACAGTAATATAGCTTATAAATCAGAATAAAACATAGGCTATAAATTACACACGTTAGAAACTGCCGGTACAGCTAGATCTACAATGTATGCATTGTATCAATTTATTTTATATTATTTATCGATAAATTCATTGTTACATTCAGCGTTATCCCTTCACTAGTGAGTGATCAAGTTAATTATTAACAAACCTATAGAGCAGAAAGTAGTCATCTGTCGATGTGTCTATGGTAGAGAAACTAGTGAAGTGCTATACGGATTTGATGTGTATTTACCGTTACTTTTTGTGCTAGTGTTGTGTCTAATAAGTTTCGTGAAAAATATTAGTTATTTATTTTAATAATAGTTACGGTTTCATATTAGTTATTTCTTTTACTAATAGTTACGTGTTCATATTAGTTATTTCTTTTAATAATAGGTACGAGTTTTATATTAGTCATTTCTTTTAATAATAGTTACGTTTTCATATTAGTTATTTCTTTAAAGTGGTCCTGAGTTTGGATAAATTAAATTCTAAATATTGGAATTTACATGTAGGTAAGTACATACAGTACATTGTTATGTTTATTTATGAATTAGAAAACATAGCGTTATTTATATAATATTTATATGTATGTGTATATTTATATTTAGTTGTATATTAATAGTTTATTTTAGTGTAGATTACTATTTAAATCCATTCTGGTGTACAACTGTACGCTTAATTTTATTTACCTACATATGTGTATATACTTGTTTTTTTAATGTTTTTTATTTTAATTTTGTTATCTTTTTTCCACTCATGTGCCGCTTAATTTATTTTTATTAATACTTTCTTTATTAAGGTTATCTGGAAGAGATTGCATTAGCGATAAGAACGCATTCTGTCTTTCATTTATGTATCGCTATATATACATATATATGTATCTGCTTTTAATATTGGTGCAATAAAGAATTATCTATACATCTATACATATAAATGAAATTGGAGTGTCTGTTTGTAATAATGAAATAAACGTTTTTTACTTCATGCATATAAATATAAATACGGTACATACGCCATAATAACATTTTTTACAATTTAGCTGCCTGTCTGTTTATTCCGCCTAATCTCTGAAATGGCTGGACCGATTTTGACGAGACTTTTTTTAGCAGGTAGCTGATGTAATAAAGAGTAACTTGGCTACTTTTATTTTAGAAAAATAAAGTTAAATTTCACGCGGACGAAGTCGCGCGTCCAGCTAGTTAATAAATAAAATAAAAAAATGATTAAAATTCCAGTGTTTTTGTGTCTATGGCGGTTTACATTTGATTATTATTGTACATACATATATTATAATTGAAATTTTTATTTGCTAACCTTGAGTATAGCTGTTGTCACATTGCCCCATCATTGGATAGTTGTAGGTTCCATTACCATACAATACAAACATTAAATATTGTGTTAATGAGTACAATTGTTTGTATTGGTCTGGGTTTTTTACATGTTATGTATTTTATAAAAATGTTTATATATGTTTTTTATATCCATGGTATATAGATTAGATTATAAAGAATTAGCTGGAAAGATAAAGTAAGAAATGAAGAAATATTGTACAGGGTGAAAGAAAAAAGGCAGATATTGAATGCTATAGAAAGTAGAAGAGGAAATGTTGGGGCACTTGATACGGCATGATGAATTTATGAAAGTAATTATTGAGGGAGAGATAGAAGGAAAGAGATGGAGAGGAAGACCAAGGCACAGCTACATCAAGCAAATTAAAGACAGAATTGGACTCATGTCATATCAACGCTTAAAGAGTATGATGGAAGATCGTAGAAAGTGGCAAGAGCTCCACCGACAAGAGCGTTGCTCTTAAGTATAAATGATTTTTTCTTCTAAAATAAAAGTAGCCTAAGTTACTCCTTATTACATCAGCCAAAAAAGTCCCGTCAAAATCGGTCAAGCCATTTCAGAGATTAGCCGGAACAAAGACCGACAGACAGTCAGGCATGTAATAAGGAGTAATTTAGGCTACTTTTATTTTAGAAAAATAAAGTTATATTCCACGCGGACGAAGTCGCGTGTACAGCTAGTAATCTATAAAATGCATTTTATTATCACTGACAATAGAACTGAATCGCGGAAATGATATCCTAGTATTATGTCACCAAATATCACATTCAATACAATGTAAAAACAACTACACCAGACACATGATAAGGTTTGTTTTTCTGTGTCACATTGCTGACCTCTGAAAGCGATAATGAATTTCGTTTCAGGGCAACACAGAAATAGCAGAGTGTAGATATAAATAGATATAGTGTAATATGTTTTGTTAGTTTGTATAATATCTGGGCTTATATATTTTTTATATGTGATAATGAAATGGTGCACCCGCCTGCGCTAACGGTCTACGCTGGCAGGGCACCAGTAGAGGGTGATAATATGAGCATAAGTTCAGGTCAGTTAGCCTATCGTGATAAATTCACATGTAATTTATAATTGCATGGTAATTAACTTTATTTTTCTGATATAAAAGTAGCATAACTTACTCCTTATTACATCAGCTACCTGCCAATAAAAGTCCCGTATCCCCCAAAATAGGTCCAGCCATTTTAGAGATTAGCCGGAACAAACAGACAGGCAAAAATTATAAAAAATGTTATATTGGTGTATGTACCGTATTTATATTCACATGCATGTAGTAAAAACGGTTATTTCAATATTACAAACAGACACTACAATTTTATATATGTATAGATATAGGATGATATTAATGTCATTAAAATTAAATATGATACCACAATGGCTTGTAATGATGAATGTTTTATATCGAAAAATTTATTAAAAGGAAGTCTAACTATATACGTAGAAGCAACCTAGATTTGTTAATCTGAGTCCTGACAATAGTTTCATATAATACGAGTAAAATCGCAAACTTACGACTCCCTTCACTACATAAAAAACGCTTATTGCAATATTATAAACAGACTCCAATTTTATTTATATGTATAGATTATTGTTATGATGGTCAGTGGTCACCAGTTGCCAACAGGTGGCCCATCTTGTTCGCTAATCCAGTTTTATAAATAACAAACGACTAAAAATTTTCCACTACAGCCTTCTTAACATTATATGCCCTTTTTATAAATAGTATATTTTTATAACCAACTTAACTGGTATTAGAGCCACCGGTTTACTTACATGACGAGTTTACTGTGAACCCGAAATAAGCTAGAGCTAGCCATGTTAATGGACTTACTTGTTGAGATATCTTATATGGGATGTTTAACTTAGATTAGCAATTGTAAGTAACTTTGACGTGGTCTAGTGTTTTGAGTAGTCATGCTCATTAAAATGTCCAGACTTGTGGCGGTGGGCCGGGTCATTGGGCTCTCTAAAATATGGTCGAGCGCAGTGATGGCTGGCTCATCAGTCATACTCGTGAACGGTTGCTGCTTGTAGGGACTGGTCTGCTCTAATCACTATGACTGATTTCCTCTTATTAATTGTTTAACCAGTTGGTTATATATTCAATATTTTTTCTATTTGAGTATTTAATTGAATTAGTGCTAATTGGTGGTTGGTATTCACACACTTAAACTTAAAAATGTAAAGTAATAATAAAATTATTTAAAAGAGCAACAAGCAAGTTCTTCTTGTGATGAGAGATGTTTCAGCTTTCCGAACGAGCGGTAGATTAAAAAAAATGCAATGACTATTCAAAAGTGCTTCAATGTAAGTTTATTTGAATAAATGATTTTCTATTCTATTCTATTCTATTGCACGGGACCACTCTAGTGATTTCGGCGACAGCTGGCCTTTACAGCTTCGGACCACTCTAGTGATTTCGGCCGCAGCTGGCCTTTACAGCTTCACCGGACGATAGGAGGCGAGTGCAGATGGCACTCCAATCACGTGGAGTGAATTTATGAAACGGCTGAAGGCCAACTCCCGCCTGACGGATACAACTTTAGTTTGAGGGCATCTCTAGGGGTTCGAATCTCGCCTCAGGTCGTCGTAATTTCGATCCCCGTTTGAATTGGACGGGGGATCGATCGGAGGGGATTTTAATATCTATACTAATAAATATACAAACGATGGCCTCGGTGGTGTTGTGGTTTCGCACACCCCCTTTACTTCCGATGGTCGCGGGTTCGATTTCTCCCACGGTACAAACTTTTATATGACGTTTGTATCATTCTGAGTGTTTTCTATGTATAATATGTATGTATTTACGAAAAAATGTATCTATGTATTTGTATTAGTTATCTAATACCCATAACACATGCTTTAGCTAGTTTAATATGGGATGGATGGCGCTGTGTGAATTGTCCTGAGATTATTATTATAAATAAAATTAATGTGTCTATTTGTAATTTTGAATTAACACCTATTCTCAGACCTACAGATGTATATACACAAAATTTCAGAGAATTTTATATATTAGAGACTAGATAAATTCAAATTCAAATTAAAAAATTAATTATTCATGTATAGGGTTGCCAATTTTTTTTGATAATAAAAACGTATAAACTGGTTTGGATAGGAAAAAAAATATTAGGAAAAATAAAGTATATGTCTAATTTTTTTTTTTGCATTTTAAACTTTGCTTTTAACAAATACGACATCTAACATTTCGTTCAGTAATTATAAACCGTTAAGTACCCAAAATGAATATTTTGTTTCACGCATTATAGTAAAGGTTGAAAATAAAGTATTTTTGCATACTTTATGTAGAAATATAAAGTATAATTACTAAAAATAAAGTAGGATATGTTATTATAAAGTATGGTTGGTAACCCTATTCATTTTAGTAGGTCATTTTAGCCGCTTATGAACGTCAAATTTTTTACAATATAATTTTATTTTTTTCACTACCGTCCAGTTCAGTATATAGATCGAATTGAGACGAACTGGCAAGAAACTCAATTGTACCATTTCTTTAAATGATACTGTCGCGTACCAAGCAGTAACAAAACGCAATACAAAGAGAGCGTTCTGATTGGAGCGCACACCCATCCAATTTAAATACTCAACATAACGTACAGACTTAAAATATCAACCGATCGATCTAACGTACTTTTGTTCACTCCACCAAAATGTAACTTATCACAGCATTTACCTATTAAATTGAAGACTATAAGCAAATCTATCATTTCTACAACCCGTAATCTGCTGAAGCCAACATCACCTACCATCTGAGCATTCGAGCCGTATCATCACGTACCAGATACTTTTTACTCGAATTCTGATAGAGATATTGAATGGATTACATATATAGTAGTAAATATAATTTACTTCGTTCCAATTGCAGTTGCACATTACATACAAACTGTTACTTAGCAACAATAATTATTTTAAATGTGATGGATTATACTATTTCTACTTCAATCAATGTGCCTAATACGGTCCCTTAATCCATTACATTTAAGACATTCTACATCTCTACATTTAAATAACATACATAATATAAAACAATATACAGAAGAGTAAACAATAGAACTACTAGCAAAAAACATATCCAAAATTAAATCTGTTAAAATACTAATAATTTCTGTTGGACCTATAATAATTTACTTCGTTCCGATTGCAGTTGCACGTTACATACAAACTGTTACTTAGCAACAATAATTATTTTAAATGTGACGGATTATACTTTTTCTACTTCAATCAATGTGCCTAATAAATTCAGGCAAGCAACGCTGCGGGATGGTAATAGTTAAAAAAATATGCGACTCATTAGACAAATATGTATTGATTACACAATCATTAGGTAATAAACATAATATTAGTAATTCGTCTAAAACGTGACGTTTTAATAAGTTTAATGACCGGCTGCAGGTGCCTAGTTGTAAAAAAACACAAGGTCACCATACAAAAGATTGGTTTTTTAAGTAAGTAGGTAGATAACAATCACTTCCTATGTTACATTTATTAGTACACTGTCATACAATTGCATTTTGTGTACGTGTAACAATTTCGGGGTATTTTTACAGTTTGTAGATAGCGTCGAGTAGTAGCAAGATTTATTTAGCTTGTTTTGGCATAACGCAAACGTTGTTTTGACATATAAATTAAAATCACTATTAAAATAGGGGTTTGTTATAGAAGGGTGAAATTTTGAGTATGATTGAGAGTTGTGAGTTGTATGTATTTTTTAATGACACATTATAAAAAAATAAATATTTTGTCGAAAAAATAAAATTAAAAGTTTTGGGGTGGACACCCCTTATCACTTAGGAGTATGAAAAATAGATAGTAGCCGATTCTCAGACCTGAATTTCATAAAAATCGGTCAACCCGTTTCGGAGGCGTATGGTAACTAAAATGGTGACACGAGAATTTTATATATACATATAAGATTTATATATTTAATTGAGACTGTTATTCAGGTAATTAATATAAATAAAATTGTCTGTGTGGTCACGGGACTGATGACGGCAATCTGCCACGATACCGCCGATACATCACACCCTTCGGCCAGTAGTCCTCTTTCAGGTAGATGGTCAGCGTGCTGGTGGGGACTCAAGCCACAAATGCCTTGGAACTCGCGTTAACACTCAATTCCAGCTGCGTCACTCTCAATGTCAGGTTACTCCTGGTCCACATGTAGTCGACAATGCCCTGCTCCTTATAGGCATAGTGGAGGCGTTTTTGGAGCTTCCAAAAATTTAAGGCACACCTTAATTTATTCACTCTGTTGTTCATTAATTCATTTTAATACACGTTTATATGTCTCTGTTTATTACAATTCCTAACATCCAGCTCGATTTGAGACTTCAATTGAGAATTGTCGAGAAACTCAACTAGGATCTATTATTACCCGAACTTAGATATCAAGTGCGTGAGTTTGAATTTAGCCGACACCAAAAATTATGATATAATTATTAATTATATAATATATATTTCTGAACGACTCTCTGGTAATGTAAACACTGATAACAAACTAAAATTTCTCTGGAAAGCGGCGGTAGACTGGCATTTAAAACATACACAACCTCTGTTTGCCCCATCTCAAATCAAATCAAAATATCTTTATTCGTGTAGGTCTATTACAGACTCCTATGATATGTCAAATCTACCGTCAGTTCGAAGTGCTTTCGAGATGAGAAGAACTGACTAGAAACTCAGCTTATATTCTTTTCGAACAGTGTTTACAATAATAAAGATTCATTTTTAAATTCAAATTTGGAAGAGATGAGATAGAGTGGCTATTTTACCACCAGCATATGCTATTGTCATTTTGTCAATATTAGTGTTCATAACCCTATAATAAATCAGGATAATAATTATGAAGATGTATTATTTTATTATTGTATCTAAAAAATTGTATACGGAAATATCAATACCTGAACAATTGTGGACAAAAAGTCGATTAATGATACTGCAATTGCTAAATCATATAAAACGATTACAAAGCCAATCGACACGCGTAATCAATTATAAATTTAAATGTTCCCAGAATTTATTATTTTTTGGCTATAACTATATCGATAAAAACAGTCTATATTTAGATTTCTATTAAATTATTCATATTAATGTTAGAACTATTTTTTATATCTATACATGGTATAAATAATCTGTTTGTAATATTGAAATTACCATTTTTTACTACATGCATTTGAATATAAATACGATACATACACTAAAATAACATTTTTTACAATTTTTGTCTGTCTGTTTGTTCCGGTTAATCAGTGAAATGGCTGGACCTATTTAACATTGAATCTTGATTTATAGTCAAGAACAATACCCAAATTCCTGATAGAGCTCACATTTTTAAGATCAGTTCCATTTATATTATATATGTATGTATTTATATCTGTTTTCCTACTAAACTGAACATAGCAACACTAATCAAAAATAATAATCTCAGGATGACCTCGGTGGTCTAGCGGCCTAGCACACCGCCGACCGGACCTTACAACCGAATATAATAATAATCTCAGGACAATTCACACAGCGCCATCTAGACACATGTTAAGCTAGCTAAAGCTTGTGTTATGTGTACTAGACAACTGATACAAATACATAGATATTTTTTTCCGTAAATACATACACATTATATATAAAAAACACCCAGACCGATACAGTCATACTCATGAATACAAATGTTTGAGCTGTGCGAGGAATGGAACCGGCGACCATCGGTCGTAAAGCGGTGTGCTAGACCGCTAGACCACCGAGGTCGTCATCATCATCGTCATCAATATTAAGCTCCATACCATTATGCTCACAGCAATCAACCAACCTATCCAAATCTGCTTGGAGTAGATCATTATTTGCAGTAGACCGAATTTTTTTCATTACTTTGAGATCATCAGCAAAAAGATAGCATTTCGAATGATGAAAACTTTTTACCACGTCATTAATGAAAACATTGAAGAGTGAAGAGTGAGGGAGGTAGCCAAAAAGGGATCAGATGTGTAGCCACTTATTACAACAACAGACTCTCTTTCTGTAAGGTAAGACTTTTATTTGTACTGGACCAATTTTGACCTAAAAAAAATTGTAATTATACTGGACCGATTTTGACCTAAAAAAAAATTGAAGTGTCTGTTTGTAATATTGAAATAACCGTTTTTTACTACATGCATATGAATAAAATTACGGTACATATACCATAATAACATTTTTTATAAAACAGGTTCAAATCACATAGGTTCAAATATATGGCAGTATTTACCATAGTTAGTTATTATACTCATCACCATTACCTTGCCTTCATCCCATCAATTGGGTTCAGCGCAGTTATTATACTATAATATTTTTTTTTAATATGCGTCATAGTTATTTTTAACAATAGTTCAAAGTAACTGAAAAACATGTTATTTATTATCTGTGACGGTCTGTGACGTAGTTCAAGATAATTCTCCACGAGGGTGTAATTATTACCATATCTATTGCAGAAAGAAACATCCAATTACTGTGAAATAAATAAAGTTTTATCAATTCAAATTAGTCCCTAAGTAAGCAGAGCTGGAATTACGACTAATTAATTTTTTTGTCGTAATAGCAGCTCTACTTAATTTTTATTTAAATGACGAATACCTTACCAATATTATAAATATGAAAGTAGGGATGTTTGTTACACTTTCAAGCAGAAACTACTGAACTGATCATCATGAAATTTTATACACATGTTCTTGGAGGTATCAGAATGAACATAGGATACTTTTTATTTAAAAATAAACAAATACGTTTTATAAAAAGCAAAAGAAAGAAAATATAAACATTTTGCTACTTCAGCGCCATCTAGCAGCCAGTAATGATTCAATGCGACCGAAGTCGCGGGTAAAAGCTAGTTGTATACTATACATCGACAGGGAATTCATCCCCACACGCTGGAACCTAAGTGGTCTCGGACAGTGCGGTTTCAGAAGAGCTTCCTCCCACGTACACTTAGATTGTGGAATGAACTACCTGCCGAGGTTTTCTCGAGAGACTACAGCATGTGGTTTTTCAAGAAGGGTATATAAGGGTCGGCAACGCGTATGTGACACCCCTGGTGTTTCATGCGTCCATAGGCTACGGTAACCGTTTAGCATCAGATGAGCCGTATGCTTGTTTGCCACCTAAGTGGTATAAAAAAAAACACCGCCATTCGTTACTAACTAAAATAAAATAGAGATTAACTGTGTTAAGTCATTACAAAAGGTTCAATTAAAAAGATTGATATAAGTGTCTTTCTTAATTTAAAATATTAAGACTAAACCTTTATAACAAAACATGTATATAGACTTGCTTAGTGGCATCATTATTTTTAAATAGATTACTTATACAACAAAGAGCCAATATAAACACTTGTACCGGATGACTCTGTTTACTTTAGCGGAAAAAATATAACAGATTACATATATGCGAGTCGATAGATCTGTGATTGATATTAGTTTTTTTCTTTCATTTATTCAGCTGAAGGCCATTTCATTACTTAAATAATATATTATATTAATATGTTTACGGAATCATATAGTACATTATGAATTCCTGGTGAATTTGTCACGATGGGCTGACCTGACCTCATCCAGCACTAGTGCCTGCCAGCGTAAACTGTTTGTGCACCCGCCTGCAGGTCTTCGTTGGCGGGGCACCAGTGGAGGATGATAAGATGAACATGAGATCAGGTTATTAGCCCCTCATGACAAATTTATCACGACGGTATCCAGGGGGAACCGCGTGGAGGTCAACCTGACATGGTACGGTATGGACCTGCTAGAAATAAGATCATCAGTCCACATTACTAATAATTCCCCCCACTTTCCCCCCACAATCCTATGTTAAGTGTAACATATGTATAGTATTCTATAGTTTACTTTTAAATGACGATTTTTATGTAATTATAACTGGCAGAATATGGATTAATTGGTTGCCAATTCAAAGTCGAAATCAAAATAAATTTTGGCATAGAAAGAACGAAAAACATTTCTTGAGAACCATAATATGACATATATAATGTTCCTGAAACATATACATATATCTTATATATAAAATTCTCGTGTCACAGTTTTCGTTCCCATACTCCTCCGAAACGGCTTGACCGTTTCTCATGAAATTTTGTGAGCGTATTGAGTATGTCTGAGAATCGGCCAAAATCTATTTTTCATCTACCTAAATGTTAGGGTAGTCCACCCCAAAATTTTTATTTTTATTTTTTTTAGACAAAATTCTTAGTATCTATTTTTTTATGATACAACATACAAAAATACATACAATCCTAAATTTTCACCCTTCTATCATCAACCCCTATTTTTTTATAGCGTTATTAAATTATATGGCAAAACAACGTTTTCCGGGACAGCTAGTGACATATACAATTAATATTTATTTAAATTTAATTTTACAATTAATTACATATATAACATACACTATTTATGATTGACGACATGGCCGAAAATCTATATTTGTAGTATAGGTCACTCAGTATCGACCACTTTCAGCCATTTTCCATAACTCTTTTATAATTTTTTCTTACTCTTGATTTTACTATGTGTCTGTAATTTGTGAATAATGTACTTATCAAAATACGTTACAACTGATAGAAATACTCGCATACTTTCAATATTTGTATTTTACGGGAATTGAACTGTAAATACGAAAGATTCAACCACTACACCACGTCAACTATACAATAATAGTTATTTTTTACATTGACATCTCTGTTACTCTAGTCAGCTCGTGACCACGGCTAGTGCAACCTAGTCGAAACGTCACGAGAGGTAAATACGTTTATTTCCCATAAAATTAGTTCGTGTTAAGACCCGGTTAAGAATATAAATAATTTATATAATAATACATGAAGAAACCACATATAAACTAACAAGTGTCAATCGTGACGTCATCTTTTTAATTGACAAATTGATAAGCTATGACCAGACATACATAGATATAGTTGATACAGTGTAGCGAGCGAGTTTAAACAAACAGACAAACAGAAGAGCTATTCTCATATTATAATATCCATAAATAGGGGGAAAAGGGGATTGTTAGTAATGTGGACTGATGATTTTATTGCTAGCAATGGATGTCAGGTTGACCTCCACGCGGTTCCCCTGGAAATCACCTTGATAAATCTTGGTGAATTTATCACGATGGGCTAACTGACCTGACCTCATGTTCATCTTATCATCCTCCACTGGTGCCCCGCCAGCGTAAACTGTTAGCGCAGGCGGGTGCACCATTCCAATATCATCCATAAAAAAAATATAGGATCTAAATATCCATTTGAAAGTACACAAAGGTACCCAATTTATTTTAAGATCAAACAAAAACAAGCATTGCTAATCAACTCTGGAAATAGTACTATATTTACGACAGTGTCAAGGGCAAATTGTGTCATTTTTTATACGAATTATAATAATAATAATAATCGTATAATTAGTAAAAATCACGGGATCTTACGTTTTATATTTATTTACTGTAAAACTGTACAATCAGTTTACCCGTGATCATGGTGGTCGAAACACTGCCGAAATATCGGGAACTCAGCAAGTAAATATAAAACGTGGTAAGATCCCGTGATTTTTACTAATTATACGTATAAATAATGACCACGTCAAGTTTAAAACAGTATATAATAATAATAATCTCAGGATAATTCACACAGCGCCATCTAGACCCAAATTAAGCTAGCTAAAGCTTGTGTTATGGGTACTAGATAACTGATAGAAATACATAGGTTTTTTTTTCGTAAATACATATTATACATAGAAAACACCCAGACCGATACAAACAATCATTCTCATGAATACAAATGTTTGTGCCGTGCGAGGAATCGAACCCGCGACCATCGGACGTAAAGAGGTGTGCTAAACCGCTAGACCACCGAGGTCGTCAATTGTGTGAAACCCACAGTGTACTGATGGGAAATAGGAAATGTCACCTGCAGACAAACGTTATTACGAAAATTGCATGTTATTATATATGTAAGTAAATACATATATAATGATATTTTCATGTCTTCTTTCTTTGTTTAGTATAAACAAAGAAACGACATTTAAAGTTTATTACAATTATTTAACTATTACTTTCTTTTTATTACATTACTAGCTCGCCCCGGCTTCGCGCGGGTGTACATGTATAATATATATAAACCTTCCTCGTGAAGCACTCTATCTATTAAAAAACCGCATCAAACTCCTCCTCTATAAAAGATATATATCTTTTATTTTTTCTCCTCTACCCAAAGGCTGTCTGGAAGACATTACATACGCGATAAGACTGCCTTTTGTACCCTATTACTCTGTTAATTGATTCAATGTAGTATATACAAAGAATGTACAGAGCAACACTCAAGTTTCTTGCTCATTATTCTTGTGATGAATCTGCATTCCGAATGATTGGTAGAATCAAAATATGACTATTCAAAAGTGCTTATATTAAGTTTATTTGAATAAAGATTATTTCTATTTGTATAAATAAATAAAGATACTACAACAAGCTCCAGTCAGCTGGGGATATATATGAATTAATAGTAACTATTAATTTAGTACTTATATTTCAAACTGTATATCTGGATTGCATTTACAATTATGTACACTAATTGTTTATACACAACTGCAAAACTTTAAATGACTATTAAGTATGTCTGTGCATCACGGTCTGTGGAAGTAATTATTCTACTTTATATATAAAATTCTCGTGTCACAGTTTTCGTTCCCACACTCCTCCGAAACGGCTTTGGCGATTCTCATGAAATTTTGTGAGCATATTGAGTAGGTCTGAGAATCGGCCAACATCTATTTTTCATCCCCCTAAATGTTAGAGGTAGTCCAGCCCTAATTTTTTTTTTATTTTAAGGCAACACTACGTTTGCCGGAACAGCTAGTATCTACATATATATAATAAATACATAAATAAAATAACAGACACATGCATGAATATATATATATATAATATTATATATAAAATTCTCGTGTCACAATATTAGTTACCATACTCCTCCCAAACGGCTTGATCGATTTTTTAT